TAAATAATACAACTCCAGTTCACAGAAGAAACAAGGCCTGGACAGCAGACAACCCAGAGCACGCTGATCAGCCTGCCCCAGCCACATAGCTCAGGCTGCCTCCTTTCCTGCAGCCCATCCTATCCCCTTCTTGGACACATGGTTCCTAAAGTTCCCCCTCTAGTCCTCTCGACATGAATTCAGCAGGGTAGAGTAGTTACCGCAAAGAGACCACGTGGCCCTTAGAGGCCCAAATGTTTCTATCTACTTACAAACTATTCAGAAGAAGTTTACTGATCCCCTCTCTTGGGTCACCCACTACAAACATGCTGTTATTTCCTCTGTGAAAGAAAGAGAAACAGGGAAAGACAAACAGAAAAGAAACCAACCAATCTGTCCTGATCCCACGGCTACTCTTCAGCTGCTACTCATTTTTCTCTTCTGTGCTCTCCCCCTGTTCATCCATGAACCTTCCACTCCAGGCAGGCTTTTCCCTACAAGTCCACTAGTGCTGCTTTAATCCAGATCACTCTGACCTCTATACTGCTAAATACAATCGATCATTTCTCTGTTGTCCCTATTCTGTACCCACTAGCAGCCCAACACTCAGACACCTGGTTTTCTTCCAGCCTACTCAGCATCCTCTGAGGCCTTTTCCTCTGGCCCCCAAGTGCCACAGGTCCTGAGGCCTTGCAGTCCTCTTCTACTCTCTCTTCTCACTGCTCTGGTGATCTCATCCAGTTTATGGCTTTAAGCGTTGTCTATACACAGGGACTTCCAAGCTTGTCTCTCTGGGCACACATCAGATGCCCAAGTGAACTCAGGATCCTGCACATCTCCTGCACCATAGCCTGGGGTCACTCAGTCTCTCCCAATTTAACTAAACAATGCCAGCCTTCCAGCTGCTCAGCCCCCCCGCCTCCCGCATCTCCTTTGATTCATCTTTTCCTAGACCTTCCATTCAGTTTGTCAGCAAATCCTGTCAGTTGTACCCTGAACACATCTCCCAAAATGCCCCACCCCTCTTTGCCCACCTCACCTAGGCACCATCATTGCTCCTGGGTTATTGCCACCTTCTCTGGCCCCAGTCCCTCTTCACCCGCTTGCTCCCATGCCTCACTGGTCTTTCCTCAACACTATGGTCACAGGGGCCCATGAAAACATTACAACAACATTTGTGATTGATGGTGGCCAGCTCAGAGGCAAAGCTCCAAGATCCAGTACCTGCCCTTGGCATCCCTGTATACAGACACACAGGCGTGCACACACACCCTTCTTGCTGTTTCTCAACACACCAGTGCACTCTCATGGCAGGGATGCCCAGAGCTGGCTCTCACCTCCTTCAGGCTTGGCTTAAAAGTGACCTGCTCAAGGAGGCCTTCCTTAATCCCTCATCCAAAATCTCACACCCCTCCCAGCATACCTCAGGTACCCCACCTCCCACTTTACCCTTCATCACAAGCACTTGTCATATAGCTTCATTAATGTGGTTTATTGTTAGTCTCCCCAACCTGAAAGCAAGCAAGACGAGGGCAGACATCTGTCTGGTTTAGTTCCTGCTCTATCCTCAGAGGCTGTAACAGAGCCTAACACGTAGCTGGCGCTCAATAAACATTTACTAGATAGATGGACAGACAAATGGACATATGTATGGTGTTACAGACTGTCTCCACCCTGCCCCCCAATTCATATGTTGAATCCTCACCCTTGAAGTGATAGTGTTAGGAGGTAGGGCTTTTGGGTGGTCATGCTGGTGGAGTCTTCATAAATGGGATTTTTGTCCTTATAAAAGAGATCCCAGAGAGCCTCTCTGTTGTTTGCCATGACACGAAGAAACAAGGTGTCGGTCTGCAACTCAGAAAAGAGATCTTGCCACAACCCAACCATGCTGGAACCTGGTCTTGGACTTTTAGCTTCCAGAAATAAAAGAAATAAGATTTCAGTTGTTTATTAGCTTCTCCACCCTATCTGTGGTACTTTGTTCTAGCAGCTCAAACGGACTAAGGCAGATGGAAAACAATGTACCCTGAAGACAGAATCCACTGTGGACCCTACGCATGTCTGGGACTCTGTGGTATAGATGAATCCGGACTCCTTTAGGCCAATGTGCAATTAAATCAGGGCCAGCAGAGCCCCTGCCAGGATGACAGCACAGACAAAACTGCTTTCCTTTCCCCACACAGAGAAAGATGAAAAACGTCCTGTGGCAGTACGTCTCTTGAAATGCATTTTTCGTTTGGATTGTGGTTTTATGGAATTATTTTCCCAAAAGAGCCTGGTTCTATAAATTTGGGCAGATAATTAGGGCAGAGTAGGCTGTGTTTTATGAGCCCCATATTCCTCAAAGGCTTGGACTAGACCCTGATGCACAGCAGGTGATAAGATATTTCTCAGATCAATGAATGAAAGCGGCTTTAAGAGAAGGAGGCAGCTTTAGAAGCTTTAGAACTCATAAATGGTATAGAAACTGCTGGTCAAAACTCTATACAAAATCATAGTGAGTAGACACTTTAAGTCCTTCCCCTTCAGGGCTCTGCCCCTCACCTGTGCTCAGGTGTGAGAAGCACTTCATCTTCATCAGGATCTAAGGAGGCAAGATTGGAACAGTTCTGCAGAAGCAGCTTCTCTCGCTCCTGCTGGAGGGCCTGTTCCCTGTGGGAAGATGAAAAGCCAAAGCCATGGGTCAATGCTGCTCCTGGTTGTCCAGCCCCGTCACCAGACTGCCAGGACCCCTCCTAGGGTTTGGGAGCCAGAGGGCCATGCTGTCCTTGTCTCCCTGCACAAAGGATCTCAAATTTAGATTTTTACAAAGGTGGGTGGGGTTGCACTACATAGATTGTACTATCTTCAGATGAGCAAAGATGAACAGACAGTTTCCAAAGGAAGATGTTTCTCACCATATAATTTCAAATGTATCCTTATTTCTGTACCTTGCTTTGGCATTCATTCACTAAACAGTGTCTCACTATGTTGCCCAGGTTGGTCTTAAAGTCCTGAGGTCAAGGGATCCACCTGCCTCATTTTCCTGAGTAGGTGGGGCTACATATATGCATCACTGCATGTAGCTTTGTCCATTTTAACACGCCAAGGCCTGGCCTTCTGCTCCTCCTCAGCTCCAGACACATGACTGGATGAGGCCAGTGCTATCACACCTTCATGTCTTTGACACATGGCCTGACTCTGTGGCCAGATAGCAGTTCTCTAGCTCCGGCCATTCCCTCTCTCTCTCTCTGGCTCACAGTAGCCTACAGCCCTCCTCTGTTCCCATAAGTCCTCAGGCTAAAATATTTTCTCTTCATCCCAGGCCTTTCCTGAGCTCAGATCCTCACAGCTAGCCAATAACTGGATGATTTCCAGATGAACATGACCAGGTGCCTCCAGTGGCATATGTCCACTACCCAGGCCATCAGATGCTACACTGGCCTCCTCCTAGGGACCTCCCAGGGTGAGCCTCATCCCAGACCCCCTTAGCCCCTTATCACTGGCTCTCTCTCACCCTTCCCATCCATTCTCCAAAGCAGCATCTTTTTTACACACTATGAAAACATATATGCCTCCTTAAAGTTCTCCCACAACCCAGCCTTGTGTCCACAAAGCCAACAGCCACCATGTTGCAGAGTCATGCACATATTGGCTCCAAATCCTGCCACATCCCTCAGCACCAAGGACGTGGGCCCTTGCCAGCATGGTCTGTTCTACCTTCCTTTACACCTGAGGCCACCCCCCTCCAAACCCAAAACTTCATATCCTGTAAGACATAAGGACAAAGACACTCCTGGGGAGTCTTTTTTGACCTCCAGGTTCAGTGTCACTCTTCTGGGCCCCCCATAGCAACTTTACAGCCTGGGGGTTTCTGCAATCATTATGTTCAATTTTCAGGTGGACAGGGGTTGCACCATCAGCTCCGTTATCCACTGCCTGGCATGGGGCCCAGCACATAATGTGCTATGGAGTGAATGTTTGTGTTCCATCCCTCCACCCAACTCATATGCTGAAGTGTTAAACACCTGGTTTAGCTGTATTTGGAGTAAGGGAGTTATTAAGGTTAAAAGAGGTCATAAAATGGGGCCCTGACCAGACAGGATTCATGTCCTCATAAAAAGAGACTCCAGAAAAAGCTCACACTCTGTCTGCCATGTGAGGACACAGCAAGAAGCCAGAAAAAGAGCCTTCAAGGAAACGAATCAGCCAGAACACCTTGATCTCTAGAACTTAATCAGAACTTCCAGCCTCCAAAACTGTGAGAAATAGTAATCTGTTGTTTAAGCTCCCCAGTCTGTAACATTCTGTTAGAGCAGCCCAAGCTAAGACAGAACAAGAAGAACCTCCAATGCCAGGCACACTGATGACTCGACATGAGGATTCTCCATAACTGCTCACTTTCCTGTCCACATTATTAAACATTTATTAAATTTACAGCACAGTGGGCAATGTGAAATATATAGACAAGGTCACTTCCTCAGTTTCAAGTGATGGAGATAAAGGATCAAAGTGTCAGGATAGTAAGAGAGCCCAGAGGAGCTGAATGGAGGAGATAAGATGACTGTGGGGTAGGTCACAGGGCCAGGAGTGAACAAAGGCAGAGAAAACACTTAATTCATCCCACATATGTTTTACTCCCTCCTGCAGTAAAGAACATGGGGTTAGGGACTCTGGGAAAAGCCAAGATGAGTGAGGTGTCAGTTCTCCCAGCAGGAGAGGTGAGGTAGGACCTCAAATATTGAATAGTGGCATTGTCCTCACCTACCCTTAACTTCTGCAAATGTAATGTACATGCAGTGAAAAAAACAACACAACAGGAGCAAAGACACAGAATAATTAGGTAGTGTCTGCTCACATGCCATCAAAAGGCAGCCCCAGTGGAGGTGACCTGGATGCATGAGCAGGCTGCTCCCTGCCAGCTGGGGCTTCTTGAGCCTGGGCTGTGCACAATGTGAGAAGCCACTATGTGCTTCAGGGGTCTAGGATTTTTTTTTTTTTTTT